CTGGACCACTGAGGGATTACACAGATATAAAACAACATAGTAATATAAAAGAAAGTACTACAATTTAGAGTGAGAGAGGTACTTTATTGATCCCTAGGGAAATCCAAGTGTTGCAAACTGTTGCAGTTTTTCCACTGCACTTGGAGAGTAGAGTTTAATGTTGAAAATTACATTCTACAGTCTAAACAACTCTTCTCCTGTGGACCTGGGTTCATTTAGTGAAACCAGTTGTTTCAAACTTAGGTGTCAAAATGGACCCTGATCTAAACTTTGATCAGCAAATAAGTGCCGACAACCAATCCCTGGACTATTGTAATGCACTTTGCCGGCTCGACTTTTAACCGGTACCTGGAAACACGAGAGCATCTCACCTGTTTTAGCCTCTCTCTATTGGCTCCCAGTGTACTTTAGAGTCAAGTTCAAAATGATTTTATTTACCTTTAAGTGTTTACACAGCCTATCGCCCTCTTAACTCGCAGACGTGATCCACCCTTACGCCCCCTCTCTCACTCTCAGGTAAGCAGACCCGCTGCAACTCACTGTCCCAAAGACTAAACTTGAGCTTCATGGGGACTGTGCATTTTCTGTTGGTGCCCCATGGCTGTGGAATCAGTTGATCAAATCAGTTGAGTCTAGACCTGTTTTTAAATAACTCCTAAAAACACACTTTTTTTTCACTGGCTTTTAACAAGTGACATGTGCATTTTTTGTTGTTAATTAACTTCAGTATCTTCAGTATGTTTTTTTTTAAGTAGTTTTGTGACTTTAACTGTGATTGTCCTTGTCTACTCTATGTTTGTGGACAGCACTTTGGCGAGTGGTAAAGGTGCTTTATAAATAAAGTTGGTATGGTATGGTTAACAAATCCTTGCTATTTCGAAATTTTAGTGTCATGACAGTACTACCAAGGAGACATCTTTAGACCAAGCTCTAGTTCAGATGTGTGGGAGGCGAGCCCAACCCATAGTCTCAGATGGTGTGGCTATGGCAGATTTACTGTTTTTGTAAGAAATCTCCAAAATTGTAATCCACAAACCTTAAGCCTTATTATTATTTGTTTTGTTTGGATTCAGTCTAGCACCCCGCAACATTAATCTCATCAAGTCTTTTCAACTGACAACGATCACGCCTTTAGATTTTAATAATGGCACCGCTTTCTGAAGCAGTTATGAAAAAAACAATTTCACTTATTTGTTCTGACAGAGAAGACGTCGTGCCAGTTTTTCTTTCATGTGGATCGGCCCAGTAATGACATGAAAATGAACCATAAACCAGGTCAACAAATCTGCAATCTGACAGTTAAACAGCAGATTCTACCATAGAGTTCTGACCTCTGCTTCAGCTCAGTGTTCATCTACAGGGACTCTACAATGCTCTGATGTCATAACCCATTAATAAAATAAATAATATTAAACGCAATTTGTATTTGTATGTCTAAAAACATCATTTCCTACATTACACATTAAGTACTGAATTAATGTATTATGTACTGGTCCATAGAGCTGGGTATCATTAAGAAGTTGCTGATATGATGCGTACCTCCATATATAGGCCACGATACGATATCTGTCTCGATACAGTGCACTTTCAGTTCGATACGATATATTTTAAATCAATTTGATATGGTTCAATAAAAAATAAAGGCTAAATCATGGCTGTGAACCTAAAAGTCTTAGTTAAACCACTTCTTGTGCAAAGTTCACATAAAACACACACATGAACAAGTGAACATGTCAAATGTGTCACATAAGCGAGTTTCCTTCCACTGAACAAGCAACAAAACTATAGCTCTGTTACAAAATCATTGAGTAAAATATACCAAATCTCTCTTCAAATCTCTCTCTTGGAAATATATCGATACAGCAGCCCACTATATCGTTACTGTATCATCACATTAAACGATACAATATATTGTTATTCTGATATTTTTGCACACTCTGGTCCATAGGCGTATACTAGTCTTGGTGGTTTTATACTTGTTCTGCTACAACTCATCAGTGGTGGAGGAAGAACTCAATTTTATGAAGTAATAGTAGAGATACAGGAGCCAAATATTACTCAAGTAAAAGTAAATGTATCACATGAAAAAATCTACTTAAGTAAAACAATTGAAGAAGTTTTAAAAATGTACTTAAAGAGTAAAAAGTATTTTGCTGAGATTTTTTGAAGAATTAAAGCCTCAAATGTAGTGATTTCGAAAAAGAATTTAACAGATTTTACTGATTTTCAATTGATTTCTTAATTTTTTCTAGCTGTTTTTGTGTATTTGGTTTACTCAAAATTGGGAAATTAACTCAAATTAAATGGTCTCAAACTATAAAGAAAAGTACTTTTTACTTTTCAATCCTAAAATTTAGTGGAGTAGAAAGTACAGATACATGCTCTCAAATGTAGTGAAGTAAAAGTAAAAAGTATCCACTGCAAAATGTAGTTAAGTCAAGTACAGATACCTAAAAATATTGCACTTTTACTTTGGTACGTACTTACTTTGTTACATTGATCAATTAGTATCTGATTTCCTATACTCTTAACAACTCTAGTGCGGCTTACCTTTTCCTCCCCCATTTCTCCACCTTCCAGGAATGGTTTCGACTGCGTGCCCTTTTTATTCGATCCCACTGTCCATATTTCAGGATGGAGCCGCGATCTCTGAGGCAATTACCCTGTAGCCGGCCCGTGCTTGTGGCCATGCTTTCTCTATTAAGTCTTATTTATTAGCCATTTAGCAGCTAAGCGTCGCTATGGCCATCCCCACCGCTAATGGAGCAGATTATTTTTCTAGCAAAGCGTTGGCTGGATTTATTTGTTTCTTGAAGGTCACATTGATCACAGATGGCGATAATGTACTGCAAACAGGGGCCTGCTCGGAGCCACAGCCGCTCTTGTTCGGCATACATCAGCACTGACCTTTGGGAGATTTAACACAGGAACAAAACTGCTGGCTCACCGCTGCAAGCCCGGTTAAAGGAGACATATGAGCCAACTTTATGAGCGATTACCAAGGTTCTGTTGTGGTTTTTTCATCACGAACATGTATTTTTTTGTTTTGTAATTTTGGTATATTTGAGCTGTTTTACACTGAAGATCTCAAACCCCTGTTGCACTGGTGTACGTCATTAAGTGATAATCCAGTGAATTGGGGGGGGGCTGATCTAGGTCCGGGACCAGAGCAGCTTTGACTCCAAGCCTCCACAGGGTCCGAGCCCCAGCTTCGAGTTCCGGCCCTGCCATGGGCTCTGATGGACCGTGACTGATGGACCAGACCGGAGACCATGACGTCCGGTCTGGTCCCAGTCTGTTCCCGGCCTAGTCTCGGTCTCAGTCCCGGTCTGGTCCCGGTCTCAGGGTGCTTTCACACAGACAGTAGTTGGTGCGCACCAAACGGTCCAAACAGACAGCAGATCCACACAAACTATTCCAAGCAGCGGAAGCAGCTCCGGTTCTGTTCGGGCTCAGATGAGCTGGAGCGGGGAGTGATGTTAGGAGCCTCGGCCTGAGAGGTGCTTTACCCGGGGAAGAACCAAATTTAGGACAAATGGTCAAAACAATAACCAACCAAACTGGATTCACGTTTTTGTCCGGATACTTTGCACCACCTCGGAACCAACCATGACGGGACTGAGACCAGGACCAGACTGGAGCTGAGACCAAGACCAGGCTGGGTGCAGACCGGGACCAGACCGGGGGCTCAGAGCCCACGGCAGGGCCGGAGGTCGAAGCTGAGGCTCGGACCCCCCGGAGGCTCGGAGTCAAAGCTCGGAGTCCGCTCTGATCCCGGTCTGGTGCCCGCTCTGGTCCCGCTCTGGTCCCGGTCTGGTCTCGGTCTCAGTCTGGTCCCGCTCTGGTCCCGGACCTGGATCAGTCCTGGTTCAGTCCGTATGCAGTGCAAAAGTCCAGCATCGCAGTCACGGAAGTCACGTAAACGGCCGTTATCCGTTTTTTCCATTCTTCATTTAAACACAAAATCGAAAACTGAAAAAATTAATCGTTATCCGTTTTTAAATTTTGCATTTGGAGACAAATAATGAAGAAAACAGTTGTTTTTTCGTTTTCTTATTTTTGGTTTTATATTGAAAAACGAATGAAGGAATGATACATAGATTGTTCTGGTTTGTGGAACAATCAGAGTGATGATTTTAAACAGTCCAACACTGTAGAAGCCTTTTAAAGAGAGTATAGGGTGTTATATTATGGAAAATATGGAGCTCTGGAGTTGATGAATTATGCATTGGGTTTTGTTTGTTTTAATTTATATTTTGTCTCTCATATGTACAATTAGCGGAGTTGTTCATGCGTTTGGTACCTTTGTTTCAGCTCGGACCCTTCCTGTCATGACCCAAGTAGTCGTGGTTTATGTTTTGTTTTTATTTTGTAATTCTGCAAATGATTTAATAAAAAATAAAAAAAAAAAAGTACACCAGATATGTACACCAACAATACACTGGATATATGGTCGATATACTGTAGGATGTCTGTGCTCTCTGTTGGTCTCTGTACTTTGACTATTGTGTGAAATCCTTTGCTGATAGATTTTGGTTACTCACAAATGTTTGCTTTTGGCTATTATGTTTGAATTTCTATATAGAAAATGACAGAGTTTTGGCTGAAGTTCTTTACTTCTAGTATTGAAAAAAAAAATAAGTGAATTTAATTTATGAGTGTGTATGTTGAGGGCTGTGTCGAGGTTTGTGAGAAAGAACAGTTTGAACTGATGAGAAATGTTTCAAATTATTTGTCCTGTGCCTTTGTTCAAAATCAAACCATCAAATGATTGAAAAGAATTGTAAAGTAGGAATTTAATTAAGCTCTAAGGACAAACAGATCAGCTCACATAGATGGATCAGCCCAATATCTCAGTGGTGAAGGTGATGAGTAGATTGTTCTAAAATGTCTTAAAGTGATGGCAAAAAAAAACTTAAACAAATGTGCGTACTTTAAAGAATAATACATAAATAGCTGTGCGTCCTTCAATCGTAACTTTATGTTTTTCTGTTTTGCAGATAGAGAACCACGTATCGGACATTGACAACTGAAATCAGGTACGGATTTTGTGCTCTAGGTCAGATTAAACTTTGCTTGAATGGTTCAAAATGGTTCACAGTGAAGCGATTCAAAGACCAAGGCTGTTAGCGGCGGCCCTTTCATGTGCAGCCTCTCCATGATTCCGACCTTGGGAACTGTGAATATCTGAAAACAAGAAATTCCCATCAAATCATGTTTTTGTGCATGCTGATAGCAGGTGCTCAATTCACCAAGGCAACTGTAATTTCCAAAGATTTTCTGGTGTTTAATTGTTGCACAGCAGATGTCACTTCACTAAACTCAACTTTGTATCATGCCCAGAGGCCTTGGAGGAGCTTTCACACACTTTTACTCTTACTTTACTAATATATTTTACAGTGTAACAGTACTCTTACTTGAGTAATATAGTGTACAGTGTAACAGGACTATTACACTATACTTTTTACTGTTACCTTAGTAATTTCTTGGACCACTTTTACTTAAAGAGCCCATATTATGCTATTTTGTGATCTATGTTATAATGTTCATCAAAAACATACCTGGAGCTGTGTTTTGTTTCATTCATACACACACGTTTAACACACAAATCCTGCATATTTAGGAGTTCTTTAGTCAAATGGAAAACACTATGTTCCACCTTGTGATGTCATGTGGTAATAAAGGAAGTGCTCTACTGTGTTTTTAAACTCCATACACTTGACTCAGACTGGGATCATTTGGATGATTTCAACCCTTGTCTTTACTGAATTAAATGCAAAAGAAAACTGTTTACGTTAGGGGTGTAATGATACGTACCTCAGCTTTGAGGTCACGGTTCAGCTCATTTTTGGTACAGTATGGAACACGACAACCCTAGTTTTGTGAAGATTCATGTGGTCCGGAGGGACGTAGTCAAAGTGAGAGGCAACAGTTGTCAAGACAGCTGCCCTAACTATAAAGCACTGTGGGAAACACTGCCACCCTAATCAAAGACAAGTTCCCTTGTGAATATTAAAGAGCCAAGCCTTCCATGTAGCTGCACATGTAGTGATGGAGTGTAAACACACACAAATTGCATGAATTCACTCGAACACAGCCCTGTACCAAACTGAACGTCCCATACCAAAATGGTTCGGCACGAATACATGTTACACCCCTAGTTTACTTGAAAACTTACAAAGTGGAACAGAGCATTCTGAGCTTTGGGGATACAGACAGACTAATAATGCAGGATTACTCATGTGTGAATGAAACAAAACACAAAACCAGGTATGTTTTTGATGAGGTAACAACATCTTGACATGGCTTTCAGTCAGTCAGTTTTGCACTATAGAACCTTTAAGTAATAGCATGATTATTCCAAAAATGTATTACTGTAGTCTTGGCTACTCTGTACACCCCTCTGATCATAACAGAACTCACACAGAGCGAGAGAACCATAGAAACAGACATAGGCACATATTTCTTTCCCAAGACACAAAAAGTCATGACTCTGGCTTTAAATCTTCTTCTCATTACCGCGGCAACCAGCGTCACCGCCGCAAACGCCCGTCCGTCATCCCAAAACCCATAAGCTCCATGACATTTGGCTGACCAGCTCCTGCCCCGCTAATGCCCCAATCTGACAAAAGGGGGCCGTAATGGCTTTCCAATGGTCCAGAACTACCCCATAAACAACATCCATCTAATTGTAGCAGGGAGGACTAAAGTAAAGAGTTCCCTGCCAGCTCGCTCGCGGGGCCGGGGTAATGATCCAGGCATAGCATCAGTTAGTGGCGTTAGCTTCCTCGGTCGGGGGTTAGCGGCGCTTCTGGGTTAGCATGATGTAAGGATGAGTTAAGACCCGTGCGGCGCGTTCGGGGAGAGGAATCGGCTTGGGCTTTGGGGTACATGATCATGGTAATGGGGTCCTTTTGAAATTAAAAGTTGGAGTAGAAAAATCAAAGTGGAATTTTTGAGTAGATCACAGTGGGGGATGGAGATTTCACCTGCTAAAGAAATGTTTCGACATCTGTTAGGGGCTGAGATTAAAAATGTATCATTAAGAAACATGTGTTACAAAGGATTAGTGTTTGAACTCCTGCCTCATAGTGTGAAGATCCCGGGTTGGATTTCCAGAAGTTTTCATGTTCTCCCTGTGTATGGGTAGGTTTTCTTCATGTGCTCAATATCTGGAGATCGGTCACTCCTGCTCAAGGTTGCCCCAGTGACATTCAAAGATGGGTCCAATGCGAGGGACAAGTTTCTTTATATAGACAAAACAGTTTGCTTCACCCTTGATTCATTTATCAATAGTTTGGGCAGCATTCGTTTATAACAGCGGTCCCTAACCTTTTTTGCGCCAAGGACCGGTTTAATGTCAGACAATATTTTCACGGACCGGCCTTCGAGGTGTGGCAGATAAATGTGACCAAATAAAATGATACGACCAACACAAAAACTGTGGAATTTGGAAATATAATCATAAACGTTTCCAAAGACATCTGTTTTTTATTCATTTGTAATGGATGTAACAGAGAGTCATTTTTCAAAATAAAACATTCTTCGGACTCGGATAATAAATAAAACAGAACTAATGTGTTATTTATTTGTTCTGTACGGCCCGGTACCAAATGGGGGTTAGGGGCCGCTGGTTTATAAGACTTAACAACGTAAAGGGCCATATTACACAATTTTCTGATCTGTGTTATGATGTTGTGTCCTCATCGCAAATATACCTGGAGTTGTGTTTTGTTTCTTTAGCTGGTACCTTGAAAACTACCTGACATCACAAGGTGGAACAGAGCAATTTGAGCTTTGGAGATGTAGACAACCTAATAATTACTCAAACGCAGCTCCAGGTATGTTTTTGAGGAGGTAACGACATTCTAACATGGCTCAACGCTCACAAGAGTCAATTTTGCGTAATATAGGACCTTTAATATCTTAAAAAATATCTAAAAATGATTTCCTGACAAGCACGTCCAGAAGCATTTGAGCGACGACTGACATATTAATGTAAATGCTATACTAATACAAGAATTGAATACATTTCGAACAGATTTCTACTGGGTTTATTTAGACTTAATAACATATGGCATTTAGCGAGTTGCAAAGGAAATACTGCTACTTACATTTCACTGAATTGCAGTCATCGAAATGGTACTTTTGGTATGATTATTCAGTGGTCAGTGTTTACTCGCCAACCCGAAGGTCAGTGGTTCAATTTCTGCCAGACCCATGTCGCCCTTGTGTCCTCGAGCAAAACAATTCACCCACTTGCCTGTTCAGGAAGGACGTGTGCAATTTGTGGTGGTCGGATGTGCCTATATATCTCAGACTGGCATTCATTCTAATAGATGATTTTTTCAGACTAAAGTTTGAATATGAAAAAAAAGGGGGTTTTGGTGTTAAAATTATATTTTGTATGCATAATATGACATTTATTTTGCTGTATGTAAATATTTGTAAAGTTCCGTGATCAATGTACAGAAGCAACCATATAACCATTTTGAAACTATGTCATGAACAGGTGGGTTAATATAAGTTTTTCTTCCCACTCCTTTTCACGAAATGTGCTTTTCTCTTGTTTAGAATGTGTATGTAGTATATATGATTATTGTTTCTCTCTTGGCACAAACTTGAAATAAAAACGAATCAATCAATCAATATTAAAAGGCCCATTCACGCTCATCACTCACTCACACCCTCCTTCACATGTTCATTCACACATGTTTAACACACAAACCCTGCATAACAGAAAACACACTGTTCCACCTTGTGATGTCAGGAAGTGCTCCATTGTGTTTTAAAACTTCATGCCCCCTCACTAGAATAATTTGGATTGAATTTCTATTCTCTTCTAAACAAAAAGTAAGAGGTAGCTGTTAACTTGAATGAAACAAAACACAACTCCAGATCTGTTTTTGAGGAGATAACAACATTCTAACATGACCTAAAGCGCACAAGAGTCAATTTTGTGTAATATTGTCAGGGAATTTACCCCAACCTCAAATATTAAAGAACACGCCAGGGACACAGTGGTTGGTTTTACTTGCACAAGAGAGTCGCAAGGAGTAGGAGAGAGCTGCCTGTCTCATCCTAACTGAAGCTCTCTTCTCTCCATCAGCCTTTTATTGTAGAGCACACAATAAGCATACAGTAGGTTACTTTGAATACAGTACCTATTGTTCACATGTTGTCTCATGACTGACAAGCTTCCACTGACACAGCCCCCATTATACACAGGTTTCACATTCCAGGTGGTAGAGCCTCTAGCAATTCCCCAGAGTTCTGTGTTAACCTCATGATGTTTACCATTACTATTTGTTTCTCCCGGTACATTATCTTTAATGAGTCAGCCAATGCATCAGCAAGATCACCTGATACAGCTTGAACATAACAAGACAAGTAAAACAAAAAGCCAATGTTGATAACTTATACTACATCATGATTGCCTTTACATGAGAAATGCTTATAACATAAAAATTCTCTAACAAATATAAAAACTTTATGGATCAGAAGACCAAATTAACCCCCTTGGACCAGATCAGATGTGCAGCCTCTCTTCTGCCTACACAAGCAGCTTTCCACCGCTGAATACGAGGAGTGAACAAAATATAAATATAACAAAAGCCACCATCTTGTTTGTGTATTGTACGCAAACAATAGACCTGCTCTGTTCACCTCATAAGACTCTATAAACACAATAGCTGCTAACAGACTTTGTAATTAAGCGCCCAGGGCCTAAACACATTTATACTCCACAGACAACATCAAGATAAAGCTCACTCCACTGACAGCTCTTTGGCACTAATTCTTTGAACAGTCAGTGCACAGTACATAAACAGTAGCCCAATGGATTTCACCACAGATCAGTCTTGTCAAGATGCAATCCTGTACCAACTTTTGACGTTCCTGTTCCTGTCCTTACTTTAAAATCATCTTTAAAGTTCTGTAATTAAATTTGTCAAAAAAGAGACATTATGCATTTTTTTTTAGCTTTCTGCCATGTTATAATGTTGCTCCCTCATCAGAAACATGCCTGAAGAGGTTTAGA